CGGGCCTGGCCCTGCTCCGGCACGCCGGCCTGGCTGCAGGCACCTTGCACGCAGGGCTGGGCTCCAGATCGTGCCCATGGTAGTACCAGACCCCGGCAGTGCCGCAGACGGTGCCAGGGCCTCCGCGTGGCCAGCCCGCAGCGCAGCCCTCGACCCCCGGCCGGAGCGATGCCACGTGCAGTGCCAGCCCGTGGGTAGCGTGCCCCCAACCCCTGCCCAGCTGTGCCCAGCCAGCCCTGGGTCCCGTGCAGGGCGGCACAGGGCGAAGACGGGGCGCAGAAAACAGGATGGGGCAGGTGCCCGGGAGCGGGTGGCACTGGTGCGGTCCCTGGGGTGTTGATCGGAGGGGATGCCTGTGTGGAAAATGCTGGTCCCAACACCCCGCCGTGCCCCCACTGGGACGGGGTCTGTGCCCAGGAGGATGCCTGGGGCGGGCAGGGAGCGGTGAGGGCAGGCAGCCCCGTGGGGATGCTCTGCACCCCTCGCCCCTCTGTCCTCAGGGGCTGGCACCCCGCCTGCCCGCTGCGGGGGGGGACATGGTCAGGGGCACGGGCAGCATTGCAGGCAGCACTGCCAGGCGGCCAGGAGCGTTTCCTCCCGCCAGGGAGGAAGGTGTGCGCCGGCAGTGGAAACACAGAGTCTTTTCCTGCGAGGGGAGAGCTGAGCTGGCAGCAGCGGGAGCCGCCAGCGTCCCAGGGAGGGCTGGGGGTGCCCTCCCAGCCTACGGTCAGCTCCCGGTCCTTCCTGGGCATCCGCTACCGCAGGCGATGGCCACCCCTTGCTCCTGCTCACTGGGGAGGTCTGTGCGGGTCCCACTCTGCCTTCAGCCCCCCGGCCCCTAGCCCGGCACCCCCGAGAGCAGGCAGGGGGGCAGCCAGCTGAGCTGAGCAGGCAGGAGGCTTCCTGCCTGCCTTCCTCCCCGGCCCGCGGCCAAGCGGAGGTCGGTGGCTCGGTGATGCTCCGGGCACGGCAGGTCAAGCAGCAAAGGCAGCAAAGGCGGGACCCAGCTCCCGGCAGATGGTCCCAGGGCTGCTGGGGATGTGGCCCCGGGGCCTGGCAGTGGCCGCGGTGCCCATGCCAGCTGCAGTCCCCATCTGGCCACTGTCCCCACAGCCGGAGGGGGATGCCGGGGGAAATCTCCAGCTAATAAGGCAAAAAGGGCCAGCTCGGGGGCTTGCCGGGGGCTGGGACAGCAGCTGTGGGACGCAGCGGGCATGTTGCAAATTCCAGAGCAAGGTGGTTGGTGGGGGGGCCTGGGGGCCACGGAACGGGGTGGCAACATGTCCCACTACGCCCCATGGCCGAAGCCCCATGGCTGCGGGACTGGATCTGGGCCACGGAACGGGGTGGCAACATGTCCCACTACGCCCCATGGCCGAAGCCCCATGGCTGCGGGACTGGATCTTGTGAGGCGGCTCCCCGGCCACCGGGTCCCCCTGGGGCTCTCCCCATGTGTGCCAAGGCTTGTCACTGCCGGGACCGTGGCAGGGGCAGCCGTGCTCCCTGGCACTGGCACTGGCACCGGCACTGGTTCGCTGCCCACCCGACCTGGCAGGCAGTGAGCAAACGGCCCCTCTCCCCCCCCGCGGGGCACAGGCAGCCCCTCGCCGGCGGGACCCCCCTGCCCTGTTTTCCTTTGCCATTTGTCTGCCTGCGCAGAGCCCGTAAATCACACGGTGGGGGGGC